ACGCCAAATTTCAAGCCAATCGGAGTTCACACGGGCCCTGTAGGCCACCGAGTGACTCCTCGCCACTTAGGACGTCTACACCTGCCACACCAAAAGTGCCGCACAATCGCTCGAGCTGCTTTAAAAAGGTGCGATTGTGACACACAGCATCACGAAGCTCCCTCTTGCGATCTACGTCAACAAGAGTTTCCCGACTCCTACCAGCGGCTGCCATTGTTGGCCCAGGAGATTGCTCTGATACCAATTTGGTATAGCCTAAAGCTCTCCAAGAATCCATAATGGAAATTTGATTATAATGATGTACCAATACAAAGCCCAAAAGCCTCTATTTATTGAAGAATTAACAACTAATTAATTATAAGGAAAACTAAAACAATTCCATCAGTCAACAGCTGTGGGAAGACGAAGAGTCATCCTTCAAGCACTCGAGACAAGCAAAGAAACTCTCAACTACACTCTATTGCTTCAAAAATAACCAGACTTACTAACGTTCAAACCAGCCTATCACACCCCAAACAAGCTCCCGAAATAACCTTGCTGCACTTTAAAGTAAGGCATTCAAATTCTAAAAATATCTTGAAAATCAAGAGGCCTTATCAATCGGGACAAGAGTAATTCCCATTTCTTCAAAATAAGAAGGAATGCTTGATTGCTTTAAAAGATCTGAATTTTCATCTTCGTTTGGCTCTTTAAAAAGGATCTGAAAGTCTTCCTCAAACAAATGTTCACTAAAATCTTCAATAGGAATGTCAGATTTTGGGGAAGAGTCCAAGCTACTTTTTATGAACACTGCCTTGTCTTCACTAGATTCAATATTCGAAATTTTACGAGAAGAATTCTAACGACCCATACCGACATTAGTGGAATTAATTGAGCCATAAGAGAGAGACTTGAGCCCTTCTAATTTGCATTTCTTATTGGAAAGTTTACTTGAGAGATTATCTAACGACTCCTCATCTTCTTTATTAAAGAATGTAATCAAATCTACTTGAGGAATCTCAGATGATTCCAACTTCTTAACAATATTATCTCCGTTTAACTTTCGTCTATTGTAATAATATGAAGGGGGTGGAATAAGACGCGTTAACTTCTTAGGGCCTTGGGAGAAAGAATAAACCTTTGGCCTTCCAATTGTCTTATCCAATGCTTCCTCTTCCAACCTATCTTGGATTGCTGCATTACCTACCTTATTAAATGGAGGGGCGTTTTGGACGACCTCTTCCAAATATTTGGATAAAATTGGAGTTTGGGCTCTTCAACTTCAAAACAGGTCTCCTCATCTTCCATCACCATTTTAATGCGTTTGAGATCCAAAATATTAGAAAAATTTTTGAGATTGATAGTGCCATCTTCTTCCTTAGCAGGATCCTAAGCAAGAAAAATCTTTAACTCTTGCAAATACACTGCCCAAAAGAGAGTCTTTTATTTCAACTTCAGCAGGAAAAAAACCACATGAATTCTTCTTCACTTCTACCTAAATCAATTCGCAATTCAACATATTCAAAGTCTGAGAGGAAACATCAAGCAAACCGCCGAAATGACTTCCAATAGCTTGAAAACAACAGCAACTCCAATAGCTTAAAGGGATGTTCACAATTTCAATCCATCCGCCATATCCCAACACAAACTCAGGTTTGCTATGCTTGATATCAGACCACTTCTCAAATTTCACATGAAAATGACCAATTTTCTTCCATTTTCCCTCGTCTCCCAAACCTTTAAGGACCGTCCCCTCCTCCAATTTTAACAGAGCCTTATCGGCTATAAAAGGGTTAACTAAACAATCCACCTCAAAATGATTCTTCAAAGCAGTAGCAATCTCCTTCTAATTATCATGTGATTTAAGTCTAGAGATAACCATCAAAGAATTCCAATCCACTTCAACTACATCTCCTTCTTTTTTAACCCAAAAGCCCTATTTTTTAATTGAGAAAGTATCTTCTCCCTTGGACACAGGAGGCTTTAGAGAACTCTCCTTGGCTATAGGATTCGGGACATCATACTTCTGCGGGATATCCTCCTTGTTCCTTGAATGAGAGAGAGAATCCTTTAACATTTCCCAGAATACTAACCATCCTCTTTTCTTTTGACCAACAGGGACCACAATTCTTCCTCTCATGCCTGATTTAGGGAGCAGAATACATTCGAAACAGCAGCCCTGCTTATTAAAACTTTTCATAAGTCTACAAACACAAAACTCTCCCTTTGCTTGTCTGAAAAAATAAACTCTCAATGGATGTTGCATCAAATCCACTACGGCCTCTTCAAACCAAGCTAACTGTTTCTTATGGAGTGAAAAATGGAAATGCCAGTTATCAAATGTCTCTTCTAGCTTGAAGAAACCATTCAGCTGAGAATGAATGAAAAAGGACTTGTTTGCAGCTCGACAACTCCTTGAAACCATGATTCAAAACTTCGAAAAACTAAAATCGGTAACAGTAAGCTAAAAAGGAACCAAGAACAATCTAATCCTGCAGAAGCAGTAAGAATCAGCAAGAGGAAAGGAGAGAGAACACAGCACACTTACCTCTCCATGGCTTGGTATTACTAAAAAGTGCAAATCGGCGGAAGAGTTTTCTTTCTTTGAAGCTTGCAAATGCCAAACAAATTTTATAGTGGGGTGATCATTGGTGTTGGCAGGCCTCTCCTTTTTGTTTGAAGTTGGATGTTCTGAATTTTTACTTTTCTTATTGCTAAGAAACAATTTATTGATGAAATTACAAAAGATAAAGGATGAAAATCCTCATACCAAAGGAAGAAACATAAAACATTTTCAAAAGAGAACATAAACTCTATGTGAAAAATTTATTGTTTCTTTTCATTTCAACACTAAAAAGTTAGTATCTTGTTAAAAAATTAAAAAAAGAAAAGAAAAGAAAAGAAAAACTATAAGTATGAGAGAGCGGGGAATTTTTACACTAAGTGAGCCAAAAAGAACAATGATTCACAATAACTATCAAATGATGTCTCCTTCTATTTGAAAAGTTGCTTCTTTCAATCCAAGTAGACCAGAAAGAAATATTAATGGAGTCATAGGATTTTCTTCTCTTGCTTGAACGGGTGTCCTACAAGAACCGTGGTCAATAAAGCATGTGGCTCCTTTGGAAGGGGTCTTCCAGCAAAAGGTGGATAAGATATACCACCAAAATGTCAAGGCAAAAGGGCAAGTGAGAAACATGTAGCTTCGGGACTCCCAGTCACCTTTACAGAAGCAGCAAAAATTTTGGGGAGATGGCTACCCATGGGGATGTTTTGAAATTGTTATCCCACAAAAGTTTCCTTCCAAACCAGCTTAGGTTTTTTTTTTTTTTTTGAACAAGAAACAAATTTTTCATTGATTTATTGAAAAGGATCAGAAAAATGTTCAAAGATACAAACCCCTGAAGGAGTGAGAATGTAACCAAAGAGGTAAACAAAGCATCAAACAAAACAGAACACAAAACAAAAGCTAAGGGGGAGTTATAAAAGCCTCCCAATTAGAATAAATCATACTCGGAGAGTAATTAACAAAAATATTGAAAGAGCACACCATTGAGAAGCCTTAAACTTTGCTAGGTAGAAAACTTCAATCGGATCTCGACGTTTCCCCTTAAAAAGCCTTTGATTTCTCTCAAACCAAATATCGGACAACAAAGCTTTGACTCCATTACACCAGATAAGACCCGCCTTTGACACAAGACATGGGCTGTAAATGGGTTCACTGGTGTATGCATGGAGGAAAAAGCTATAGCGAAAAATGGTGAAAATGGTTTGATAAAAGATCTAAGGAAGAAACCATCGGCGAGTGGTGGCGAAATGAGTTTATGGCCGAATGGGGATACCTTTTTTCGGTTCGAGCCCCACAGAGTGCGTAGCCAAGACTTCCTCCCTTCGGGACGAGTCCTGCAAGATCGATTACAGTATTGGGTGGCTGTCGGCACCCCCGGTCATGGGAATCCAACTGTCGAAGCCACACGGCATCGATTCCGGGTAAGGAAAAAAAAGATCTAAGGAAGAAAGGAATAAAATCAGAAGAAGAGCGGATTTAGTAGGGGAAAGAAAGAAGAGAAAGAAAGATCAAAAAGATCCAGCTAATAGGTCGTATTTGAGGTTGAATTTGGACAAGCTCACTGAGGAAGCTTTTTTCCACCAGAGTATGTTGTCTTATATATATGCATAACGCATGCTAGTGACAATGAAATCTGATACACAATTCGAAATTGTGTGGGGGCTTGAAAAGTGGGCTACTGTCAAAACCTATTGGTTCATCCAAACAAACTCGGGTTTGGCAACTCCTCCCTCCAAACATGGGTTGGGCTCAGGAACCCAAAGCCACCCTAAGCCCAACCCACTTCCCCTAAAAATTCACTTCAAGGCAGGAGCATATTTAACTTTATGTCTTTGTATCTTTATGCCTTTTATGCTTTCCCTTCACCCTCTTGAGAGTTTGTAACCTTGAACAATTTTTGTTCCTATTCATTTCATCAATGAAAAGTTCGTATTTCGTTAAAAAACAAGGTAGGAGCATCATGTTTCTCGGAGCATGCTCAGACTTCTTTTTCCTACAAAGCTTATATCTTGAATATCAGTTTCTGTATGTATGCATTTATAAACCGAAGGAAGGGGGAGAGATAGACTGACCCATCCAAGACAAGCTTCAGGTGATGCACAAGAGAAGATATGTGACCAGTTACCTGACAATCAGATTACAAAAAGATTACTGAGATAAAAAATAATAAATTATTTAAAACTTTTTACTCTCTTTATGGAGGAAAAATGTTTACTTTATTAAGTTTTGTTAAGAAGCAATTCAATTGAAAGCAAAAGTTTGTATCAAGAGAGAGAGGACTAGCTACCTCAAGCAAAACATTACAATAAAAACACTTCATTTAAAAGAAAGGATATTTGCACAAGGCTTTGTTAACAAATCACCAACAGGTCATATTAGTCCTCAGTCATCTCAAAACTAAAAAAAAAACAAAAAAAAGATAAAAAAATATCCGCCCATCCTCAAAAACACTTCTATATCTCTTTCAAAACTCAATCGTTCTAACTGTACAACAACTTATCTCTTTAATTTGGATGCCTCTGCCTCTCTCACTCTTTTAAATCTTTCCAGATAAATAATATTTTATTTCTAATATAAAAAATTATAAGAAAAAATAATAGAAGGAAAACTTCATCTAGTATCTGTATCTCAAAGGGCAAACTACTCGGACATGTAGAAGGAGGATCAATCACCAACCTGCACACGAGGGATCAATCTCGTCAAAGTTCTGATTGCAGCACGTCTTATGTCTGCCGGGGCATCCACCTTAAATAAACGAATAAGTGCAGGAAGAAGAAGATGCATGTGTTCATCCAAAGTGCCTACAGCATAAATTATATGTGAATCACGACAGGTAACATTAAATAAGAAATTCGTTACATAAAAATTTGCATGCAACCAGAGCTATGGCCTCAAAAACAAATCAAATCATCCAAAACATGAATATCTAAGCCAAGGGTCTGACATCGGCATGTCAAGAATAAAGCAGCTATAAGCACTTCTTTTAGCTTCAAAACTAACCAGATAAAGCTTTACCTTAATCTAGTTTTTGATAGTGGAAGAAAAAAGTTTGAGTTCAGAGGACGATAAAAATGTGAGAGTTTGTTCTTGCAACCCTGAAATTCTGAGTACTTGTCACCACAACACAGCGGACTGCACTTAATGAGTCCTAGAACAAACTCCATTGATGAATTCAATTGAAAGTACTAGCAATTCAATTTCATTGATTGCCATGAATGCCATCACATTCTTTTTTATACAAATTAAAGAGTTCCAGGTCTTTTAGGGGAAAATAAAAAAAGGAAAAAAATTGTGAATTCAATTAAGTTCCATTATTGATACAGCCTAGCAGCTTTCTCACTCAGTATTCCAGTGAAACCTTTATTCCAAACCAAAGGTCAGGTTTTGCAGCAGCATTGGTTCCATTACATAGGCTGCTAATGAACCACATTGAGCAACTAACTAACAATATAACCAACAGACAAGTAGCTATCTAACAAATTAAGCCACAAATGGGAGCTTTTGTTACTTGTTGACGCCAGGTTGCTCCATGTTAGCAAGAAAGAGAGTATGAACTCCTTGTCCTAAGAGAAAGAAAAAGGAGGCTATCCAGGGTGGCTGTGACTTTCTTTCCCTTGTTACATTTACTAAAGAAAAGTTGAATAGAGACTCTATCACTCAGAGAACTCTCCTTCCCTTGGCCCTCGAATCTATCAACTCCAGCTAAGAGCAAGGTAAGGTTGATGCCAGTTTACTAACAATGATGCCATATTTATATTATTATGTCACTATTATTTACAGAAAGCATCCTATTTAGCATATTTTAGATAGCTCCAAAATCTCCACCCACAAATTGTGCTAATACAACGTCAACTTGAAAGGGAAGGAAAAAAAGAGAGATACTATCAAAACAAGAACAGCATTAACCACCAAAAGCTTCACATTGAAAGCTACAAAACTGAGAAAAAGTAATAATGATGATAAATGTATTCTACAAGTACGAAGAGTACTAACCACCAAAAACTTCAAGAGTGTGAAGGATATCAAGAACATAGGTATAATCATTACACCGTTCAGCATCGCTCAATACTTGAATACAACAAGGAAGAATAATGTGGAGAATCATTCTGAACTCATCATTAAGAGCCAAGCAAAGTTGTTCCACTAAGTGAAGAACCTAAACAAGCAAATTAAAATAGTTAACCACCAAAAGCACCGCCAACACCACCCCAAACACACACACACAGCATGCTCACTGGATAGCCAAGTGGAGGACGACTGGTAGAGGGAAAACTGAAGGACGACCATAATTCTGATACGAGAGAGAGCAGCTCTGGTAAATATTTGCGAATGTGCTGCAAAAGCATACCAAGTTCTAGAATGTTTTTGGAAAAAAAATAATCATTTAAAACATGGATAAAAGGCTGATACACAATAGTTTGTAACAAAAACCTGGCGAACAATAGACACTAGAGTTCCAAGTTTCCATGTTATGAAGTCCTTCAAAGTATCATCACATGTACTAACAGTGTGGAACAGATCAGGCAAAACCTGAAGCCGAGGACATGAAAGAATTTCAATTTAGACAAGAGAGAAAATTTCAAACTAATTATATTCATCTGCACATAAACTGACCTTGGGTAAGTATGGAACAGAACCAAGGCCCATAGACTATATTTGTACAAAGAAAAAACGAGAGGAAAATTAGAGATAATGGAGTTAGGTGCGAGACGTCAACTGAATAGAAATATCATTACTTCATGATATGCATACCTTGAATATGAACATAAGGGACCCAACCACCTTAAGATGATAACTCGCAAGGGAAGGATCTCTAAGTATTCTTAAGAGCGAATTGATTGCCACCTGGGAATTTAAATATAGGTAAATAAACAAAATTGTAAACTATAAGCACCTATCCTCTACATTCCTCTAAATTTAAATATTATTTTCAATTCAAATATCTCATAATTCGGAAACCCAGAGGAAGCGCTCCTCTACTGGTGACTCCAAAGGGATATAAATCTGTATATCACCTTACCAAACCCCTTAGGGATAGGTATCTATGTATTACACCTCATTGAGCAAAGTACCGTGGAATAATAATCTTCAGATGTTGCAAACGATGGCCACAACTCCATAGGCAGTTCATCCACAGATTGAATATGTTGACCAGAATCACTTGCTGCACGTGGTACATCTCCATGTGACCCTGGCAAGCTTAGCTGGTTCCTTTTATGCACATGAGGATCCAAAGCACCCATTATTCCTAGAACCTGATGAAGGTCAAGTAATTGAGAATTGAGCATGATAACGATATAAACTTCATCTGGTTCTAAAGTAGATACCTTTAGTACTTCACGTCTGGTAGACCAAGCTAGCTCACCATTCAGCAATTTTAACAATAAGCCAAGCAACAACGGGTACTCATTGTATGGAGTTATAACATACCTACCATGATAGTCAAAGATATTTATTTTGCTGTCATCATGAGGAGTAAATTATTGATCAAATTAAAGAGAATGTCGAGAGAACAATTGACATGTAGGAGAAGATATTCTACAGAACAAAAATATATAGAAGAAAAAGGAAATGATATCCCAAGAGAGGGAGAGGAGAGGCAAGCCCAAAACTACAAAGCGTACTCCATCGATCATTCTCTAGGTTCCGTCATGACTGCAAAATTATCAAACGTTTCTCAACAACCTAACCAAATAAAATATAAAATTTAATATATATTTGATATTTTATTGATAGGGAGTGCTTTTATGTAAGCTCCCAGGCATTTATCCTCTTCTGTATTTCATCATTCTTAATGAAAGGTGTTACTTCTGAAAAAAAAAATAATAAATAAATAAATAAGATCCATCCAATCAATCACTTCTATAGAGAAAAAAAGGCATCCTAAAATCTAACAACCAGCTACAGTCACCATCTTCCTTAGCCTCGTTGATTGTCAAGAGTGTCACCCTATCTTCATTGAAAAGATCATGAAACTCCTCACTAAAAGTGTACTCTAAATAATCCACAATTCGATCAGATGAAGAATTTAAATAACCAGGGGAATCTAACTACTTGTACTATCATTAATGCCTTCATCATCGTTAGAAATAACCTTGGTCTCAATGTGTTGAATCAAATCCTCATTTGTTGATACCTCTTTACTCAATTTCTTTGGCAAAAAATTTTGACTTGGATCCACCATTTAAGTTAAATCGCAGCTTTCCAGCCGCATTTAAGTACTTGAGTCCTTTGGACACCCCCAAGCCCCAATGTATTTTTATCGAAGGGAAGGGTTCAATGATCGCAGCTTTCCAACGACATTTAAGTACTTGAGTCCTTTGGACACCCCCAGGCCCCAACGTATTTTTTCGTCTAGAATAGAAGGGAAGGTTCAATGAATTTCCTTAGAGGCAAACCACTAGGAGAAAAGGATTGCCTTGAAGAATCCTTAAAAAAGGTAGGTAGCTTTTGAAAAAATAACTCCTTCATCTTACTCATCAATCTTTGCCTCCCCCTCGACAACATAAATTAAAGGCTCCTTAACCATCTCATTAATGGTTTCCTTTTCCAACCTATCTCCTACCCCATTAATACAACCATCAGAGTCTAATGCTACTTTTTCACTTCTATATAAGGTACTACTCAAGGCTAGAGATCTTTCATCTTCAAAAACTTACTTGAATTTCTGAATATCCAACTTGTCTCGAGATTGAACAAGGTCCATATTAGAGAAATTTCTTCGGTCAAAATATTGATTATTGAGATCTACTTCCACACGAACGAAAAAGTTCCCAAGCTTAGAATCCTTAATTTCTACTTCAGCAGGGATAAAGCCGCTTTGATTTGGTTCTACTTCTACCTGGATATATGCAGCTAAACAATCAAGTATGTTTAATGTTTGAGACGGAACACTTACAGTACAACTGAGATGACTCACCTCGAAGCATTGACGAGTCCAGTATTTGAGGGGAAGGTAACAAATTCTGATCCATCATCCATAACTTTCTACCACTTCTTTTTTGTTGTGATTACCAAAGTTCCAACTGTCGATCTTTAAATGATATTTTCCTATCCTTCCCCATTTTCCAAACTTTCGGAGTTAGACAAAATCCTCCCATCTTCAAATTTCAAAATAGTTTTATCTACCATGAAAGGATTAATACTACAAATCTGAGGAAACTTTTTTATCAGATCTTCAAAGATGTCATACCAGTTGTCATGTGCATTAAACCGGGTTATAAGCATGATACTATCCCAGCCATGATATTATCCCAATCTATCTCAAGCACTTTAGCTTCTATTCTAACCCAATATTCTTGCTTCTTTCCGTGGGAGGATACTCTGAATATGCAGAGTTTTTTATTTCATAACTTCTCTTTGCAAAAAGACTTCTGGTTCCTTTAATAACATCTGCATAAGAGGACTGGGATTTAACCGACAAAGCCTTATTTATTTCATCTGATGTTCCATTAATTCTAGATAAACACATTCAACATATCTCAAAAAGCTAATCAGCCATCTCTGTTGAATCTCGCAGAAATCACAATTCTTTTTCTTCTTCCAGAAGAAGGCCATACCACACATTCAATATTAAGTCTCGAATCAATTTGAATCTTATGAATACTGACAAGTGTCATTCTCATTTCTAACTTGCTTGAAGAAATATTCTTGCATTGGATAATGCATCAACTCAACAAAAAAAAAAAGGAAAAAAAAAATCAAACCACTTTAATCGAGAATACTGGAGAGACAATTGGATCCTTCCTCATGTCTCTTCAACCACGAAGAGATCGTCCTTAGCCCAAATACATAAATGCTTGCCCTCAATACCACAACTTTTTTTATTCTGCTGATGAGGAACTGCTTAACACAAAACCAAGGAGCTAAATATTCCATGATAAACAAAAGTAGGCTTTGACTGCCGAAATGAAGAAGTAATGAATCTGAAGCCTCCCTCCATCAAGAAAAGACAAGAATACTAAAAGATCTCAACCCTCAAAATTGCTGCAATGCGGACACTTCTAGAAAAGAAAAGTACCCCACATAAAAAGAAAATGGACCTTACAAAAGTTAATAATAGACATGGGCTACTCCTCTCATCACCAATTGATTTTGAGATAGAACCCCATGAATATTAACATGGTATCAGAGCGGAAAGTCCTATGTCCGAACCCTGCATTGTTGTTTCCTCCCCATTTATTAAATTTTCCAAGCCAGGGGGAGTGTTAGATATCTATAAATGAACTAAACTTATCCAACCCATCAGCTTAAGCTTTTGGGTTGAGTGGTGGATAATTCATCCTTAACAGAAACCAACCAAAAAATCGATGGCCCTTAATTAAAGCCTACCTATTCGGTGATTGGAACTAAGGTAATACCAACATCTTCAAAATATTTGAAGAATTTTTTATTATCAATGCAAGAAGGAGAAAGCAAGACATCCATTTCCCCATGAGAGCTTAAAGGGTCTCGACACTTTTGCAAAAAGTAAATTGAAATCTCCTGGTAGGGAAACCTCTAATAAATCTTCATTACCAACCTCTTGATGTTCCAAAAATCCTGCTAAATCCATTAACATTGAAATCTTCCTCATCATCAAACAAAACGTTACCTTTTTAAGTATTTATTTGACTGCTCACTTGTTGAATTAATGAAACCATGGCTGAGTGATGAACTACCTTTAAAAGCCTTTTCATGATCCGAGGAGGCAATAATCCCTCCACTTTCCTTCAAAAAAAAATTTTCCCCAGCAACCTTTAATCAATCAATACCATTTAAAAACCTCGATGATTTATAAATATCTTTTGAACACCTTTTTTTTCTAAATAATCTTTTAAAAAAAAGTTCTTATCCTGTTCATTAACTCCAATATATATAAAAAGAATTTCAACATTTTCCTATTATGCACCTCATAGAAAAATGACATCGTTTTCTTTTGCGCCCCAATCTTGGGAGGCTATTACGCTTTAGTACACCTCACGCTGTAGAAGCCACTAGATTCACTTTGAAACCTTTAGAATTTGCTAAATTGTAATTTTGTTGACAATAATTTTTCTCTGTGGACCATTGAGCTCATTCAGAAACCTCCAGCCTCACTTAACAAGATAACTATAATTCCTAACTTTGAGATTGCCAATGTCAAATCTGCCACTACCTGTGGGCATATATACAATGTTCCATCTAACCAAATTGTTCCTCCCTTTCTGGATAGCCCTTTCTACACAAACTCTCTAATGATCTTTCCAACCTCTTGACAATGGGCACTTAAAGATGGAAAAGTAATGTATGAGATTACTCAAAAGGACCACATTCACAAGGGTCACTCGGGCACCTCTTGAGCAGACAAGCTCTTCCACTTGGCAAGCTTGTACGCAAGACAGGCCAGAAACAAATCTCGTTGGGTTTACCACACCCAGCTCCTAGCAATACATCCACGAGTTAAAGCCAAATTATTCACCTCATAGTCTTCCATATCGATGCCCACAACCGAAGTCTTGTTCAAATTCACATTTTTTATATAGGAAACTGCACTTTTCATTAAGATAAATGGAAAAGAAAACAAAAACACGGGCACACAAAAACAAGAGCCCGACAAGGGAAGCCCTAGCTAAAGAAGGGCTTCCAATTCACATTCACATTAAACCTTGATATGAATTAAAAAAGGTAAATAACATCAAGCAAGTTGTTGAGCGTTACATGTAGGGGTGCACATCAGTTGGTCGGCGTCGATTGTAGGCTCAAGTCGACTGACCACCAACCAATCGGTTTTCATCGGTTAGAGCTCAACAATTTGGCTCTGCAACGCCAACCAACCAACTACACCAATGATTGGTCGATTTTGGCTGAAACCGACGTAAAATGAGATGAACAGGTGGGAGGAGAAGAGAAAGGGAGAAGACGTACATAAACTTCAAAAAAAAAAATGTTTAACTTTATTTAAAAAATTTGAAGTATTGTTTGAGAATCTGCTTTTTTTATTTTTTTTTTTTGATAACTCAAGAGAATCTGCTGGTTTTTTGTATGTTTTGTAGACTACAATAATAACTTATATGTTGGTCAATTGGCTTTTTAATTTTTCGACCAGACTAACAGACCAATTCATCGATTTTATATTGGAAAAACCAACCCCAACCTAACCGACCAATGTCGGTTTTGGTTGGTCGGATTGGTTTTTTAGAATTTTTTTGTTCACCTCTACAGAGTTGTTTCTGGCAAAAAAAAAGGATGAGTCTAATGCACAAATTGAAGATGGTTAATGTTGTATTTGTGTCCCATATCTCGTGTCCATGTTCGTGCTTTTAGTTTACATTTTCCCATTTATTCATGTATCAATGAAAATTTTGCTTCTTGTTAAAAAATAAATAATAATTAAAAAATACCACAAACCACAAACCACAAGCCAAGCCCGACCCTCACACACACCCGAAAATGAATTTGAAAATCCACAAACATGAAGGGCATTATGAGAAGGTAATATTATACCCTGTGCTCTGAACAACTTGGCCAAGGGTAGAAACAGCCACTTCACGTTTTGCAACAGCAGCTCCATCCAACAAGGCTTCAACAATCAATGGCATGAGTTCAGGGAGGTATTGTCTCATTGCAAAACCACCCTGTCAACACCCATAAAGCAGATTAAGGAAATAACTACTGTAACACATTTGTTTATGCTCTAAATTAAGAAATTCAAAAACAAAGAAGAGAAAATGCAAGCAGTCTTTAATTTTATTTTTCTTTATTTTCACCCGCACTCTTTAACTCCAGAAAGAATAGAACTTGGAGAAGGTGCATTCCATATAGGGCTAAACAAAATAGCAAACATTACAGTTACCACCAAATCCAAATAAGAACGGGAGATGTGGAATATAACCTTTACGACTAATAGACTTTATGAGTGGTTAGTCACGCCTTTTGAGTTAACAATGAAGCCCAATACATTACGGCCCTTACGACTGAGACCCTCCAGCAATTTTTTGACACATTTTAATACCCTAATTTGATGAGCCATTACCGTAGAACATATATTCAAAAGTTTTTTATTGTTTTACGAACTAATAAAATGTCCATTAATAAAGTGCACTTCCCTCATTCACGGTTTTTATTTCTAGGTTCCACTGCGAGAGCCAATGGAATTAAAGTGAGTCAGCAAAAGGTGGACCTAATAAAATATGCGATGTCATCAGCCATTTAAGGGATGTCTATCCAAGAGTTTAATGAATTTACTTTTAGCAAATTATATGGAAAAAAATGACAACTCCAATGGACATTAGAAGTAGGGGAGTGTTGTAGACCTAAAGAAGGGTCTGCAACAGGAGATAGACATAATTGATAAGGAGGAAAACCAGGGTCATCTGAATGATGATTGGATCACTAAAAGGCGAGCTCTTCAAGGGCAGTTGGCCAACGTGGTCCTAAATGAGAGTAGACTGTGGGCGCAGAAATGTAAGAAAAAGTTACACCCCTAGCTTGATATGTTCTAATTGGGGAGCTTTTATTGTAACTTTTTAATTTTTGTTTTTTCTTTTCTCACTCTTTCGAGAGTTTGTATCTTTGAACATTTTGTTCTTTTTCATTATTTCAATGAGAAGTTAGTATCTTGTTCAAAAAAAAAGAAATGTAAGAAAGAGTGGCTAGACAAAGGAGACGAAAATACAAATTTCTTCCATAGATGAGCCTCAGCCAGAAGGAATAAGAATCAGATTTCTTCTCTTGAAGACAGGGATGGCAGAGTCCTGTCTATAGACCTTGAGATAGAGCAAGAAATTCTTAACTTCTTCCAACAGTTGTATGATCACCCACCCTAAAGGCCAAAGGTTCACTTTAAAAGGGATAGAATGGCCTCCTTTGTCAGAAGACTGGAAAGATAGACTTGAGAAGCCCTTCAGAGAGGAAGATATTCATCAGGCCATTGAGGGGCGAAGCAATTTAAAATCTCCAGGACCACATGGCATGACAAACGAGTTTTTTTTTTTAAATTGGAACATTTTGAAAGCTGACTTAGTAAAAGTGTTCCAAGATTTTTTTGAAAACGGAATTATCAACAACAAAACAAACGAGACTTATATATGTTTGATCCCGAAGAAAACAAACACTAATAAAGTGGAGAATTTCAGACCAATCAATTTGGTGATGTCTCTGTAAAAAATTATTTCGAAGGTCCTAGCTGAGCATCTTAAAAAGGTGCTCCCTCTTATCATTGATGACTCTTAGGTCCTTGATGCTATTTTGGTGACGTCAGAGACAGTGGGAGATTGGAAGGCTAGAAACAAAGAAGGTTTCTTGCTTAAGCTCAACTTTGAAAAAGCCTGTGAAAAAGTAGATTGGGCCTATTTAGATGGTATTATGGATTACAAAGGCTTCGGCAATAGATGGAGGAAGTGGATGAAGAACTGTCTCTCCACGGCAAATTTCTCGATCCTCATTAACGGTAGACCAAGAGGTAAGTTTTTCGTGAAGAGAGGTCTTAGACAGAGAGACCCTCTCTCTCCCTTCCTTTTTATTCTAATGGGAGACTCCCTTAGTAGAACGATTCATTTCTGCTGTGAAAGGAGGTTTATTTTGAACAACCCGATCGGAAGAGTAGGCGTGGTGTCTCCCATCTTCAATTATGTAGATGATACTTTGATTTTTTGTCAACATTCAGATGGGAATCTTGAAAGATGGTGGATGCTGCTAGTCTTTTTCCTAGAAGGCTCCGGTCTTTCCCTGAATCCGGAGAAAACCTCCCTGATTGGAATCAATGTCGACAGGGAGGTGTTAAACAGGGGTGCAGACTACCTTGGATGTAAAACAGAGGAGCTTCCTTTCAAGTATCTCGAAGTTCCTTTGGGAGGTAACCATCATAAAGCCTCCTTTTGGGATCCAATTGTTGATAGCTTAAGAGCAAAGATGACTAAATGGAGGAATCTGCAGCTTTCAAAAGGGGGGCAGCTGACTTTGGCCCTTGCTGTTTTTAATAGCCTCCCGATTTATGCCTTCTCTATCTGCTCCTACAAAGGTGATTAAAGAAAAGATAGTCAGAGATTTCTTCTGGTGGGGGGGATTGTCATCCTCAAAGACACCTTGTAGATTGGGATGTTACTGCCTTGCCCAATGCTTTTGGCGGTCTGGGGTTAGGAAATTTTAAACAGAGAAATGAAGCCCTTCTTCATAAATGCCTATGGAGATTCACACAAGAAGATCATGCTCTTTGGAGGAAGGTCATAGCTAGTATCTACGGAACCAATAGTCTCGACTGGAGTACGCTCGCCCCAAAAGGGACAACCAAGGGAAGACCGTGGGTGGACATTGACACTTTCAACAATTCTTTTCAGAACTTTGTGTCCTTTAAGGCAAGTAACGGAGCTAAAACTAGATTTTGGAAGGATAAGTGGCTAGGATCCAGCCCTTTGGAGTGCCAATTCCCCATCCACTTCAATATTTCCCTTAAAAAAGAGGCTACGATTGCCGAATGCTAGAAGAACGATCAGTTAGATTGGGACTTTGGCTTTCGCTGGGCCTTCAATGATAATGAGCTACCTAGGCTAGTTTCCTTTATGGAAAAGGTGGGCTCTTTTCGGTTGGGTAATGCGGAAGATAGACTCAAATGGGACTTAGATGGCAACAGCTTATTCTCAACTAAGTCTATATTTCTGAAACTGACAGAAACAGTCCTTAAAATCACCTCTCCCCTCATAAATTTGATTTGGAACTTTGCCTACCTAAATAAAGTCAAAGTTTTTTTATGGAGCCCTGCTCATAGAAGCCTCAACACACATGAAAGGCTTCGGAGAAGACTCCCTCAGTGATCCCTCTCCCCCTCGGTGTGCTACCTTTGCTTAAAAGAGGAAGAGAGGGTAGACCATCTTTTTATTCATTGTTCTATGGCTTCCAAATGTTGGTCTTTGCTGTTTGAGGTGTTTGGTCTCACTCTCTGCATCCCAAGATCAGTTGATGGATGGCTGATAGAAGCATTGCAAGGGTGGCATTTAAAAAGAAATGTGGCTAGAGGTATCCTGTGGGACTTATGGAGAGAGAGAAATCAACGGGTCTTCAACAATACGGCTCTCCCTTTTGGTTCTTTTGGACTAATGTTGAAATCACTTCTTTATGGTGTTTGCAACACAAAAAATTCTTTTGTAATTATAGCCCAACAATGCTCATGAAAGATTGGCAAGCGGTTTT